AAGGAAGGAAGGAAGGAAAAAGAGAAGTAAGAGAGGAAAAGAAAGATGGAAGGAAAGAAAGAGAGAAGGAAGGACAAAAGGGAAGGATGAAAGGAGGAAAAAAGAAGAGAGGGAAGGAGGGAGGAAAGAGGGAAGGAAGGAAGAATGAAATGGTGGGAGGGAAGAATGGAAGGTGAAAGAAGGAGATAAGGGAGGGTAAGGAGGAAGGAAAAAGAGAAGAAAAAAGGGAAGGGAAGGGAAGGAGGAAGGGAAGAAGGAAGGAAAAAGAGAAGTGAAGGAGGAAAAGAAGGATGGAAGGAAGGAGAAAGGAAAGAGAGAAGGAAGGACGAAAGGGAATGATGAAAAGAGAAAAAAGGAGACAGGGAAGGAGGGAGGAAAGAGAGAAGGACGAAATGGTGGGAGGGAAGGATGGAAGGTGAAAGAGGGAGATAAGGGAGGGAGGGTAAGGAGGAAGGAAAAAGAGAAGAAGGAAGGGAAGGAAGGAAGGGAAAGGAGGGAGGATAGAAGGAAGGATGGAAGGGAAGTGAAGGATGAAAGAAGGAAGAGAAGGAGGAAGAAAAGAGAAGGAGTGACGGATGGAAGGGAATGGAGGGAGGGAAGGAGAAAAAGGGAGGGAGGAGAAAAGGAGGGAAAGCTAAAAGGGAAGGAAGGAAGGAGAAAAAAGGAGATAGGACAGGAGGGAGGAAAGAGGTAAGGAACAAAAGACAGAAGGGTGAAAGGGAAGGAAGGTGACAGGGAGAAAAGAGAAGGGAAGGAGGGGAGGGAAGGAAGGAAGGAAAAAGTGAAGGAAGGAAGGATAGGATGGTGAGAGAGAGGAGGGCCTGAGAAAAGAGCCCGAGAGGCCGCATCCGGCCCCCAAGCCTGGGTTTCCCTATACCTGGTTTATTCAATTCAGAGGTTGCATAGATTAAGTAAAACCACAAAACAACTTTCAATTCAGATAAAACACATTACAGTTGTGTAAATTTTGGAATGAGAAGCAAGTATTAAAAGATGAGACAAGTCACCTGAGATGAAATAAGTTTAGGACAAAAGTGCATGTTGGATTCGGAGAAAATCCACAGAGATCAAGACTGAAGGGTTTCGAAGTCCTTAGTTTGGAAGCCAAGCTATAAATTCACAAAACCGAACAAAAATGCCACTATTAAGAAGACGACAAGATGCAATTGTAAGTAGCCTTGAGTTTAGTTTCTAAACTCGAACTTCAAAGCCAGAGATTATTGGGAGTCAAACTGAAAGGGGGAAACGCTGATGGCAATCTTTCAGCATTCTTTTCAATGGCAAGGCATCCACTTCCTCCCCAGGCTAATTTGAAAAGACTAGCTCTCCGATGAAATATCACGTCTCACACTAAGCATTAATTGTTAACCAGTCCAGATGTAGTTTTAATTGTGTCTTAATAATTTATAAAACATATATAAAACCAAGATAACTAAAAAATAAATATATTTATGTGCTTTTATATTAACATTGAAAGACATTAAGCACTGAATTAACACTGTAAAGCAGAGTATTTGTATAGTTTAAAATGTACACATTCATACCTGGTTTTGGCACCGAGTTGGTCACAGACTGAGGAACTTTGTCATTAATTAGTTCTACACATTCGCTAGGAAAGAATCCCACCTGTATCAGAGGGAGAGAGAGAGAGAGAGAGAGAGAGAAAGAAAGAAAGAAAGAAAGAAAGAAAGAAAGAAAGAAAGAAAGAAAGGACATCTCATATTAGCTGCATGTTTAAGACAACACCTGAACAGAATCGGGCATTCTTAATATTTTCACAGTAAACAGCTATTTAAATCACTGAGAGGAAGTCTTTCCAAACCACAAATCACACTCTTAACTCAATTTGGCATTCTGTCAATGTCTTCAAATTCCCAATATTTCTAGGACTATGTACAGATGTATCTAGACCCTGAACCAATTAACTTTTTGAACTAAAACTCACAGAATTCCCCAGTAGCTGAGAGTTCTGGGATATGTAGTCCAAAAAGTAACTTTCCTGAGTTCCATAACCATCTCCACAGTTGGAAGTTCATTTATATCAAAAGTATAAATCAAGGTTGCTGTGAGTTTTCCAGGCTGTATGGCCATGTTTCCAGAAGCATTCTTTCCTGATGTTTCACCCACATCTATGGCAGCATTCTCGGAGGTTGTGAGGTCTGTTGGAAACGAGGCAAGTTATGTTTGTATATCCGTGGAATGTTCAGGGTTAGAGAAAGAAATCTTGTAGGTTGAGGCAAGTGTGAATGTTGCCATTGACCACCTTGAGAATTGAATGGCCCTGCAGCTTCAAAGCCTGGCCTGCTTCATGCCAATCAGATGTAGACAAGTCTACACAAGGGCCACCAAGTGCAGTGCCCAGACATAAATCAAGATACATGAAAAGCATTGCAGTCTAATTCAATCAGAGAAGTCAGCCATAGCAGAGCACCTGATGAACCAATCTGGACAAGCATATTATTTGAGAACACAGAAATGCTGGACCATTCGGACAACCACCATGTCAGACTACACAGAGAAGTCATTGAAATCCACAACCATTGGACAATTTCAACAGAAAGGAGGAAACCATGAAAATGAACAATATCTGGCTACCATTATTTTAAAAAACCTCTATAATCAGGACAGTAAATAAAGAGCAACACTCCAAAAACAGGGGAATTCCAGACAGGAAACAACTAGGGTCAGCTAACATCTCCCAACAAAGGCTTCCCCAGGCAGGAAGCAGCCAGGCTTTGAAGCTGCAAGGCCATTCAATGCTAATCAAGGTGGTCAATTGCAACATTCACACTTGCCTCAAGCAGACAGGAGTTCTTTCTCCCACCCTGGACATTCCACAGATATACAAACCCCACTTGCCTAGTTTCCAACACGTATAAATCTAGCTCCAGAACTGCAACAAGAAAATGGAATGTGCTGACTGTTAATTTCGCTGTTGTTTAAGTATGTTCTATTTAAAGGTTTTTCCACTTTCCTAACTTTTCCAATTTGCCTTCCTGATGGTCCGCAGGGCTACATGTCACCACTGATCATTTCTGGTATTTTGCCTCCATCTCTTTCCTTTAATATATCATACTTTGTCTCTTCAACTGCCAGCCTGCAACAATGCTTGCACAATATCCATTTTAGTTTTTCTCAATGAAAGAATGACAGAAAGTTGTAAAATAGTTTCATTTTTAAACCTTGCCCCCCCTCCTCTCTCTCTCTCTCTCTCTCTCTCTCTCTATATATATATATATATAAAATGAAAGAAAGAGAACAAAACATGACTGGACATGGTGGCTGTTAAGCACATTAATTTCCTTTGAAAGGCATGAAACATGGAAGCTACTGAAACTGGCTAAACTTAACCACCATCTATGAATGCATCTCTCCTTATGAACCACCTAGGACATTAGGATCGTCTTGGGGGGAGGGGGGGCTGTTCTCGAGTCTGTCTGTGCCACAAGTACGTTTGGCAGGGACGAGAGACAGGGCCTTCTCAGTGGTGGCCCCTCGGCTATGGAACGCCCTTCCTAGGGACATCAGATCAGCTCCCTCCCTTTTGATTTTCGCAAAAAAGTGATAGTCTAGTTGTTTGTGCAGGCATTTGAAAAGGCAGTGTAACAGACATAGGATTATGGATCAATTGGACTATGAGATCGGACTACATTTTTATCTAGGAGATGAAATGATTTGTTTTTATTAATTGTTATGGTCTTAATTGATATGTTAATGCTTTTAAATGTTTTAAAAGTTTTTATGATGTTGGCATTGAATTGTTGCCTTGTGAACTGCCTCGAGTCGCCTGCGGGCTGAGAGGGGCGGTATACAAATGTGTTGTTCATTTGTTCAGTTGTTTCCAGCTCTTCGTGACCTCATGGACCAACCCACGCCAGAGCTCCCTGTCAGCCGTCACCACCCCCAGCTCTTACAAGGTCAATCCAGACTTCAAGGATGCCATCCATTCACCTTGCCCTTGGTCGGTCCTTCTTTCTTTTTCCTTCCATTTTCCCCAGCATCATTGTCTTCTCTAAGCTTTCCTTTCTTCTCATGATGTGGCCACAGTACTTCATCTTTGCCTCTACTATCCTTCCCTCCAATGAGCAGTTGGGCTCTATTTCCTGAAGTATGGACTGGTTGGATCTTCTGGCGGTCCAAGGCACTCTCAGAACTTTCCTCCAGTACCACAGTTCAAAAGCATCTATCTTCCTTCGCTCAGCCTTCCCTATGGTCCAGCTCTCACATCCATAGGTGACTATGGGGAATACCATTGCTTTAACTATGCGGATCTTCGTTGCCAGTGTGATGTCTCTACTCTTCACTGTTTTATCGAGAATGGTCATTTTATCGAGAATGGTCACTCCCAGAATTTTCCTATAGCACCACAGTTCAAAAGCATCTATCTTCCTTCACTATGTCTTCCAGCTCTTGCATCCATAGGTTACTATAGGGAATACCATTGCTTTAACTATGTGGATCTTAGTTGCCAGTGTGATGTCTCTACTCTTAATTATTTTATTGATATTCATTGCTCTCCTCCCAAGAAGTGTCTCCTGATTTCCTGGCTGCAGTCTGCATCTGCACCTAGAAATACAAAGTCTGTCACTGCCTCCACGTTTTCTCCCTCTATTTCCCAGTTGTCAATCATTCTTGTTGCCATAATCTTGGTTTTTTAATGTTTAGCTGCAACCCAGCTTTTGCACTTTCTTCTTTCCCCTTGATTAGAAGGCTCCTCAGCTCCTCCTCACTTTTGATCATCAAAGTGGTGTCATCTGCATATCTAAGTTTCTTAATGTTTCTTCCAGCAATTTTTGCACCCCAGCCTTGCATTCATCAAGCCCCGCACATCGCATGATGTGTTCTGCATACAAGTTGAATAGATTGGGGGAGAGTACACAACCCTGCCATACGCCTTTCCCAGTCTCGAACCAGTCTGTTGTTCCATGGTCAGTTCTTACTGTTGCTATTTGGTCCTTATACAGATTCCTCAGGAGAGAGACAAGGTGATTTGGTATGCCCATATCACCAAGAATTTGCCACAATTTATTATGATCCACACAGTCAAGGCTTTAGAATAGTCAATAAAGCAGAAATATACGTTTTTCTGAAACTCCCTACCTTTCTCCATTATCCATATTAAACAAAAGTAGCAAATAAATAAACAAACAAACTTAATCACTGAACATACCTGAAACCCATGCTTTCCCCTCCACCATGTGGTCAGTTCTTTCGGGGGCATATCAATAACAGACACAATATCTCCCACCTGGAAATGGGAAAAAAAATGTACATTCTTATCATATAATCATTTTTTTCATCCTTGTGGATAAAGGCATATCTCCTGTTAGACTAAAAATAAACCAAATACAGAATACACTTAAAAAACTAACATTTTAGTTTGCTGGTGGCATCAGCATTTGTAAACTCTAAAATATAACTGAAGGCTCTGCAAATGCTTCATAACACACTTTTTTTTGCATAAGGAAAATTACGTTTGATAGCAGTGAAAAGGCCAAAGGCCGCTATGATTAAAATGTGAAGTGTTGATTGAGACGGAGTCATTGTGGAAGAATGAAATCACTTGAGAAAGAATCCTTTACAAATGAACTGCTACTTTTGAATCTAGTATTAATTTGTGTATTTGTTTATTTACTTTATTTATTTATTTATTTACTTTGCTTATATACCGCTGTATCTCAAGCCCGAAGGCGACTCACAGCGGTTCACAAACAGTAGAAACAGTAGAAACAGCAGTGGTTCCATACAACATATAACAATTGACTCTTTGAGCCTTCCCTTTTTCTGTGAACTTCAGTGTCACCTTTCAAAGGCATGCCCCACTAAGTTAAACATGGCAATATAAGAAGGAAATGTGGTGTTTCATCAGAAAGAAGGAAAGATAAGAAGAGACACTTAAAATTTCCTCTGAGACCACTTGCCTTGTATAAAACATTTAGAATAGTTTGCACGAATCGCTCAGTGCTTGCAAATGACACCAGCAAAACTCAATATAAGCATGCAAAATTCTTCATATGAGCCTTTTATACATAATACATTCATTTTTCAGTGTAATCTCTTATTTTACAAGTTCTGCAAATTTAATTGTGTGCCTGCTTTTAAAAGCAAGAGAAAAACCTGAAACATGACTTTGGAATGTATGGGCCACATATTCACAAATATAAAAGACTGCATTCAGACAAGTGAGGTTCACAAAGAACCCGAATTATTTGTCAAATTCCTTAAATGTATTTTCCATGAGTAACAACCAATGTTACTCAATATTTATATAAATAAAAATGTAATGTTTGTTTGTGGGATTAACAGAACTCAAAAACCACTGGATGAATTGACATCAAATTTGGACACAAGACACTTAACAACCCAATGTATGTCCTTCACTCAAAAAAATGGATTTTTTTTCATTTGGGAGTTGTAGTGGCTGGGATTTATAGTTCACCTACAATCAAAGAACATTCTGAACCCCACCAACCATGGAACTTGGAACACAGTTCTCCCATGACCAACAGAAAATACTGGAAGGGTTTGGTGGGCAGTGTCCTTTGGTTTTGGAATTGTAGTTCACCTACATCCAGAGATCACTGTGGACTCAAACAATGATGGATCTGGACCAAACTCTACACGAATATTCAATATGCTCAAAAGTGAACACTGGTAGAGTTTGGGGAATATAGAATCTTGACATTTGGAAGTTGTAGTTGCTGGGATTTATAGTTCATCTACAATCACAGAGCATTCTGAACCCAACGATAGAATTGGGCCAAATCTCCCACACAGAACACCCATGTAGGCCACAGCAACACGTGGCAGGGGATGGCTAGTACAGTAATATAAATTCATGAGATCAAAATACTAATGGCCAGATTTTGGGTCTCATATATTTTAAAAAGGTAAAGGTTTCCCCCTGATATGAAGTCTAGTCGTGTCCAACTCTAGGGATGGTGCTCATCTCCATTTCTAAGCCAAAGAACCAGCGTTGTCCATAGACACCTCCAAAGTCATGTGGCCGGTACTTATTGATCTACTCACATTTGCATGTTTTCAAACTGCTAGGTTGGCAGAAGCTGGGCCTAACAGCAGGAGGTCACCCCACTCCCCGGATTCCAACCACCAACCTTTCGATCAGCAAGTTCAGCAGCTCAGAGGTTTAACTCACTGCGCCACCAGAGGGCCCCTTATATATTTAAAGGGTATCCAAATAAGCTTTCACTGACTGTAATGGATGGTTTAATGTGTCCACTCTGAAATCCCAAACTGCATTGTGTAATATTTCTTCTACGCATGCCACATTATCACGAGGTGTCTGCGCCCTACACCACTGGAGAAATTACACTGTTTAGCTGGTATTGCACCACCTGATATCCACCAGGGAGTAGCAACCAAGAGTGAAAGGACCAAGGCAGAGACATCTCTGGCCCACCCCATTTGGGTATCAGCCAGCATGCCAATAACTTAAATCAAGAAATAGATTTCTAAGATCTACAGAGACACTCGCTGGAACATCTCAGCAAGCAGGAGTCCAAAAGTGGCAGGCTCAAACCCAGAATCTCAATCAATGGCGGATACCAAATGAGAGACTCGCTCCTGGGCACACAGAAAACTGGGCGACTTGGAAGGCGCTGAACAGACTTCACTCTGGCACCAGGAGATGCAGAGCCAACCTCAAGAAATGAGGCTACAAAGTGGAATCCACGACATGCGAGTGAGAAAAAGAGCACCTTTTCCCCATGATGATAACACTTTCAGGAGTGAATTTCCCTTCCAAGGGGTAGATTTTTCTCACTTCCAGTTGTCTCATCCCCATCCTTGAGTCGTTTGTAAGTCAAATGTTTGTAACTCAGGGACCGCCTTGATAAAGAAAATGTATTCCTCTAAGTATTTACCTCAAACGACAGTTCATCTGCTGCCTGAGCAATATATCTCTTAATAACGTGGGCAGCTGCGATAGCAGGAACATTAATGGAAGATTCTTCATGGACGAGGAGATGATTCCCTTTGTTATCAATCTGTTAAAAAAAGATATGATAGATGTGAGGCGGTTGAATGAAGACAAGCAGCTCTGCAGATTTATCTTATTGACTGTTTGCAGGAAGAGGGGGATTTCATACTGATTTACAAAGACAGCAGACCTTGAGGGGCTCTAATCAGAATGAGTGCACAAGTACAACAAGGAATGGCCACAAATAACTACACTTTCTACATGTCAGAGCTCTTTTTCCATTGTGAATTACAATAACAAAATTTGCAGAATGCTCTAATGGACATCTATATTAAATTCTTGGTAATAAGACAGTTCACTGACTGGATGGCAGAAATGATGTTGATATGGCAAGGTTGATCACACAAAAACTATACTATAGACATTATTTTATTTCATTATAGTCTCTATCCTTGTCCTGTCTGACACCTGAAAGCAACAAGCTTGGGTAGATAATCGTATTTGTTGCTATGCACCTTCAAGTCGTTTCCAACTTGTGGCAACCCAAAGGTGGATTTATAACAGGATTCTCTTTACAAGGTATATTCAGGAATTTCTCTTTGCCATACTTTGAAGGGAGTGTGTGACTTTCCCAAGGTCATCCAGTGGGGTTCCATGGTCAAGCAAAGATCTTCATCTTCAGTATTGTAGCCCAATGCTTAAACATTTACATCACACTAGCTCTCAAAAATAATTTGAATACATTCAGCTTTCTTTGATAAGAGGGGCAGAGCTGTTGATTTTACAGGTGATACACCTGTCAAACTTATTTCACCCTATGACTGCCTGCTTATTTGTTGTTGTTGTTTGGTACACAACAAGATTAGTACTCAGCAAACAAGATCACTCTGCTGGCTGTTGTATTGGATCACAAGTTGGACACTTCCCAAGTATCTAGGACTTCTTGATGCATTGGCAAATAATGTGTGCAGATCTGAGTAGGGTGGCCTTTTGCAGCTGACGGATGGTAATTTTGTCAGTGCTGATTTGTTTTTAAGTGCAGACCAAGGTATTTAGCCACTACACCCAGTGTGCCAATCACCACTGGGACCACTTTTACAGGCTTCTGCCAGAGTCTTTGCAACTCGATCTTAAAATCAACTTGTTGTTGTTGTTGTTGTTGTTGTTGTTATTGACACAAAAGCACAGTATGTCACAGCAAACAAGAACTATATGCTGGATTTCGTATCACAAAATCACAAGTCAAACACTTCCCAAACGTCTAAGACTGTGCGATATATTTTCGAATGATGCGTGCAGATCCAAGTAAGGTGGCCTTTTGCAGTGGACGGATTGTGATTTTGTCGATGTTTATTGTTTCCAAATGCCGGCTGAGATCTTTTGGCACGGCACCAGTGTGCCGATGACCACTGGGACCATCTGTACTGGTTTATGCCAGAGCCTTTACCGTTCGATTTTGAGGTATTATTATTATTATTATTATTAGAAGCACAACAAGATGAGTCCACAGCAGACAAGATCACTCTGCTGGCTGTTATGTTGGATCACACGTCGGACACTTCCCAAGTGTCTAGGACAGTGAATAATGCATGCAGATGCCAGTAAAGTGGCCTTCTGCAGCTGGCAGATGGTAATCTTGTCAGTGCCAATTGTGTTTAAGTGCAGGCCAAGGTCTTTAGGCACTGCACCCTGTGTGGCAATCACCACTGGGACCACCTTGACTGGCTTGTGCCAGAGTCTTTGCAGTTCAATCTTTAAATCCTCATACAGTGTCAGCTTTTCCAGTTGTTTCTCTTCAACCCTGCTGTGGCCTGGGATTGCAACATCGACAATCCATACTTTGTTTTTTAACACGATTGTGAGGTCAGGAGTATTGTGCTCCAAAATTCTGTCTGTCTGAATTCAGAAGTCCCAGAGTAGCTTGACGTGTTCATTCTCTGTAACTTTTTCTGGCTTGTGATCCCACCAGTTATTTGTCGCAGGCAGGTGGTATTTGTGGCACAAGTTCCAATGAATCATCTGAGCAACGGTGTTATGCCTCTGCTTGTAGTCTGTCTGTGCGATATTCTTGCAGCAGCTGAGGATGTGGTCTATTGTTTCATCTGCTTCCTTGTAGAGTCTACATTTGGGATCTGTCGCCGACTTTTCAATTCTGGCTTCGATGGCATTGGTTCTAATGGCTTTTTCTTGGGATTCAAGAATCAGGCCCTCCTTCTCCTTTTTCAAAGTTACATTTATGAACCACAGCCATGTTTTTTCTTTGTCAATTTGGCTCTCAATTTTTCCCAGGAACTGTCCATGGAGAGTCTTCTTTCGCCAGTTTTCTCTTCTGCTCTGGATTGTGTTTTCATGGTATTCTCTTCTTCTTCTTCTTCTTCTTCTTCTTCTTCTTCTTCTTCTTATTATTATTATTATTATTATTATTATTACTATTACTATTATTATTGAGACCCCACTTTTTTCTCCACAAGGAGACTCAAAGCGGCTAAGTGTTCATTTTTGATAAATAGTGTTGAAGGGCCCCTGCACTGAAAGTGAACCATTTTAATCCAGAAAGCCTCCACAGATCTAGAAATATAACCATGAATTAGGGAAGCATGTATATCATACAGATGCATGCATTAGGAGAAGAAAATTGATCTTTCTGCAGTACCTACAAGCATACCATAAGAGAGGAAACCGCAATCAAAAGAGATTTCTCATTTAATGTTGTATCCTCACATTTCATTTCCAACTTTTATGGTCATACATAAAAAGCATTCAGCAAAGGAGCGGGCACATTAAACGACACAAAGCTCTTTGCTCTACAGTACCTCCATCCATGTGAGGGCTGGTCCACAATTTATCTTGTTGCCTGCTATGGCGGAGAGGCGTGCCAGGTAAGCCATCAGCATTTGGGTGACAAGCTACACCGAAAGTGAAAAAGAAATAATATGATTCTGCTGGTACAGGGTATCAAACATTTTTTTTTCTATCAGAACTTTCTGCCAACTTAAATTTTGCCACAGGGGGGAAAAAAGCAAGGTACAATTTTCAAATTGCTGATATATTAAGTACAGCCAAATCTTATAAAAGAAGATATTTTGATGCCCAAGAATCTATCTGTCCCCTTTCACACATAACTAGACATAGACTTTATTTTTACCTCTGGACTGTCCTTCAAGGCATCTGAGCGGGGAAGCTCTGAGAGCTGAGAGAAGCGCCGGTCATAAATACAAAGATGAAGATGCTTATCCAGCACTCTGAAATCTTCATAACTCCGCTTCACAATCCAGCTCTTGCCCTGCAGACAGAGAGGAAGAAAGCAATGAAGTGCTGTGCATTCCCTTGTAAACTATGTTGCAGTGACCAGTAGTTTAAGACAGCATCTTCGGCAGAAATACAAGATAGACTGCTGTCAACTCTCCTAAGCAAAGTACTCGAGTTTGCACTGGGATGAACCGATTTTCTTTTACATTTCGACCAATGCTACATCTGCATGAATTACAATGACCCTGAATTATTTAGACTATTTCACTCGTTTTAAAATATATATATATATATAAAGGGGACATATTTGTTCATATAGTAAAGGTTTCCCCTGACATTAAGACTAGTCGTGTCCAACCCTGAGGGTGGTGCTCATCTCCATTTCTAAGCCGAAGAACTGGTATTGCCCGTAGACACCTCCAAGGTCATGTGGCCAGCATGACTGCATGGAGTGCTGTTACCTTCCAACCTTCCAGTCAGCAAGTTCAGCAGCTCAGCGGTTTAACCAAGTATATCGCACTACAGTATTTATATTTCGCCCTTCTCACCCTGCAGGGGACTCAGGGCAGATTTTTTTTTTTTTTTGGTCATGTCAGGAATGACTTGAGAAATTGCAAGTCACTTCTGGTGTGAGAAAATTGGCTGTCTGCAAGGACATTGCCCAGGGGATGCCCGGATGTTTTTGATGTTTTTACCATCCTTGTGGGAGGCTTCTCTCGTGTCCCCGCATGAAGAGCTGGAGCTGATAGAGGGAGCTCATCCGCACTCTCCATGGATTCAAACTTACGACCTGTCGGTCTTCAGTCCTGCTGGCACTGGGATTTAACCCATTGCACCATCAAGGGGGCCCTAATTGTTTATGTGTGTGTGTGTGTGTGTATGTATTTATAGTATTCATATTCCACCCTTCTCACCCCACAGGAGACTCAGGGCGGATTACAATGTACATATACATGGCAAACATTCAATGCCATAGACACAAAACATATATAGACAGAGACAGAGGCAATTTAACATTCCAGCTTTTCTTGGGGATATTTTTGCCACCAGGAGAGCTATTCCTTCACCGACCATTTGTGACACTGATAAAATACTTCCTCATTCTTTGCATGCTTGCTGGAGATTTTTATAGCATTGTAATTAGTTAAATTTGCCTCCTCACATAAGAGTACCTAAATTTCCTATTTGACAGATGCAACTGTATTTCGGGCTGCAAAGGTCGACAGCAAGCTACACAAATTGGTCGGACGCTCACTCTGATCCGGGATGGTTTCGAACTCATGACTAGTCAGTAGTGAACTTAATGGGAGTCAGCTGCGCCACGATCCTGGTCTACAAACTATTGTTCTTCTGTGGCTTTGAAGTGATTTCAGACCTAAAGTGACCCAACTGCAGTGTTTTCTTGGCAATGTTACTGCAGTCAGCACTTTTTCTCATGTAGCTATCTCATTAAAACTCAGTATGTTTCTCACCATACAACAGAAAATGAGGGAGGCTTCAAAATACCAAGTAGTTCAAGTAATATTTCATGACAACCAAAAAGAAAAAAATGTATACAATTTACCTGACAGGAAACTTGTACAAGATAGACAAGTTCCTTGGACTCGCAGCCATTCCTCGTTATTTCATTTTGTTCCTCTGGGAGTGAAAGCTGATCCAAGAAGTAGAGAAGTTTTTTTTGGAAGGAGTGAAGGAGGAAGTGGGAGAGAGGAAGGAAGGAAGATATAAAACCAGATCAGTTAACAGGTTTAGGCCAGGCATACAAAAAGCAGGAACTGCCATTCCAACCTCCAATACATTTCAAGGAGAATTTTATATCAAGGAATTTAAGACTATGCTTGTTACCATAGAGGAAGCAATATTTGTCAAAAATCTTTGTATCAATGTGGTCCCCAAATTAGACAATCTCACAGCAAAACAAAGTTTTCAAAGCTAAAAATACAATTCCACATTACCAAATATCACTTGCTTAATATTGGGTTGGTTGTTGGGTAAACAACCATTATCCATGAGATGAGTATGCCAAGGCAAGTTGTATTACATGGATATGATTAGGTAAAGCTGTGTGAGGAGGAAACAATATTTCTCAGCTTCGTGTTCCTCTTAACAACTATATACCTTTCATATGTGATATCTGGGCACACTGACTGTGCAGCACATAGTATTCTAGTCTTCTGTGCTAGGTGGAATGATTCCAATCTTGGTAAATGTTTTTGTTTTTTTCTTTACGAAACAAACAATACTTCTCATTGTCCAATTATTATAGATAGATCATCATCTGAGGAGGTTTAGACTCCTTAGAACTTTTGAGATGCAAGGAGCACATTAAGATGGCTCACCCAAGAACTACAGGAAAGGAGATTCCACCTGAACATTAGAAAGAACTTTCTGACTGTGAGAGCTGTTCAGCAGTGGAACTCTCTGCCCCAAGGTGTGGTGGAGGCTCCTTCTACGGAGGATGGGTGGCCATCTGTTGGGGGTGCTTTGAATGTGATTTTCCTGCTTCTTGGCAGGGGGTTGGACTGGATGGTCTTTGAGGTCTCTTCCAACTCTATTATTCGATAATTCTAAGAGGAGGCTATCTTGTGTGTTGGATATAATAATAATAATAATAATAATAATAATAATAATAATAATACTTTATAAAGCTGTTGTTGTTGTTGTTGTTGTTATCTAAGACAGAATCAAAACGAGACAGCAAACTTATCAAAAGGAGCGCCCGGTGTTGCAGTGGGTTAAATCCCTGTGCTGGCAGGACTGAAGACCGACAGGTCACAGGTTCGAATCCGGGGAGAGCGTGAATGAGCTCCCTCTATCAGCTCCAGCTCCTCATGTGGGGACATGAGAGAAGCCTCCCACAAGGATGGTAACACATTAAAACATCCGGGCGTCCCCTGGGCAACGTCCTTGCAGATGGCCAATTCTCTCACACCAGAAGCGACTTGCAGTTTCTCAAGTCGCTCCTGACATGACAAAAAAAAAGCAAACTTATCAAAACTGTGTTGTGCTAGCAGCTAGAGAGATCGTGGGAAACAGTTCAGAAAAGACAAAGAATATGATCAATGAGCTCTATGTTGTTCAAACTTTGCTTAGAAATCTATGTGCTACTACTAAAGAAAGCTTAGGAACCTACAGAAAAGAAGCAGCATGTCTCATATTTCTTCTTAACACATACTTTACTCACATAGTACTAATGGTAGTTGTAGATACACATGGAACTCTGAACTGAAGCAACCATACACAAAGACATTTTTCTCAATGTCACAATAATATAAACAACAAATTAAATGTCAAATTTCTATGTTTTCTCCAAATGGCTTCCTATTTCTGTTTCTTATAGAAAAGACAGAATAGATTAAATCAGTGTGAAGTTGCATAATTCTTTTTGTTTTGTTATTTTACTGATATCTTACTCGAACAGCTTTACGCATCAAACTTGACAATATATTAGACTATCAAGAAGTTAATCGTTGAAGTAAACAGAGAGAATACTCTGAGCATTTTATCATGTCTCCCAGTTTTGCAGTCTTCACACATTTTTATTAAAAAAAAACCCTTGTGGTTATATTTGAAACTTGCACATAGTAATTTAAATTCAAAAAATATATTTATAGTCACCTTTTAATGCTGCCATGCTTAAAATATTTCTCCAGACATCGGTAGCATTACGATCTTATGCATTTCGAAAAGTTTGAAAAGATGCTTTTAAAAATAACCGCTGCCGATCCAGCCTACACTTACCCTCTCTAGAATGAGTGATTCTTTCCATGCCTAGAATCTCTAGCCAAGGCCTAAGAAATCCAAGTCCCTCCTTAGTTTCCCTGCAGCTATTAAAAAAAAAACCTTCTAGGCATCAGCCTCCAAAATGCAGGAACAACAGCCTAGCAAAAATCAAATTAAAATCCCCACATTGCGCTTGATCACCCCTTTCCCGGACTGCAATGTTCCTCTGGATGAATAGGGATGGTGCTCTCCCTCCGTAACCCTGTTAGCCTTTTCCACACTGCCCATTTCATGCTCAATTTGTGCTGCAGAAAAAAAATCAGAACTATTCCTTTCGCTCTCACTTACGCTGGAAAGGTCCCACAAGACGAGCCACGGAGCTTACCGAGTGCCAAGAGAAACGAGGGAGGGAGGGAGAGGATGCACGCAGGGACAGCGCTCATGCGAAGCACTGTAATCCAGAAAAGCAAAAAGGGTAGCAGGGAACTACCATCTGAAGCTTGAAATAAAGGCACCATCTCACTCCAATTTGGTGTCTGACTCCTGATTTTTTGTCCTGCCTGATCTTACAAGCCAATGAAATCTCCTTGAAGTCATGAGTGCAACTGAGGCCAATATATTCAGTCTTAACGTCTACCCAAAAACCAAGCACTACTGCTGCACGTTTCACAGCTTACTGGAAAAGAACCTAATAAAAGGAGACGGTCAACTTTTAATACTCCTGACATCAAAAGGGCTGCCAGAAACCGGCTCTGACACAACATATAAAGGGTGAAGTGTCTGCTCATGCAATCAGATTAACTTGAACGTTAAAACTGAAAATTAGGAAGAGGAAAACCATCTATTGACACATATTTCGGTACTGAAGTCAGGCCAACTTTTTAGAATGATGTATTTTAGATACCATATATACTCAAGTATAAGCCGACCCGAATATAAGCCGAGACACCTAATTTGACCTCAAAAAACTAGGAAAACGTATTGACTCGAGTATAAGCCGAGGGTGGGAAATGCAGCCGCTAATGGTAAATTTCAAAATAAAAATAGATACCAATAAAATTGAAAAAGGTGAAATGTTCTTAATCTATATAAATAAAAATGTAATGTTCGTTTGTGGGATTAACAGAATTCAAAAACCACTGGACAAATAGACACCAAATTTGGACACAAGGCACCTAACAACCCAATGTATGTCCTTCACTAAAAAAAATGGATTTTGTCATTTGGAAGTTGTAGTTCCTGGGATTTATAGTTCACCTACAATCAAAGAGCATTCTGAACCCCATCAACAATGGAATTGAACCAAACTTGGCAGACAGTTTTCCCATGACCAACAAAAAATACTGGGGGCAGTGTCCTTTGGTTTTGGAGTTGTAGTTCACCTACACCCAGAGATCACTGTGGACTCAAACAATGATGGATCTGGACCAAACTCTACACAAATACCCAATATGCCCAAATGTGAACACTGGTAGAGTTTGGGGAAAATAGACTCTTGACATTTGGGAGTTATAGTTGCTGGGATTTACAGTTCACCTACAATCACAGAGCATTCTGAACCCCACCAATGATAGAATTGGGCCAAACCTCCCACACAGAACCCCCATGTGGGCCGCAGCAACGAGTGGCAGGGGACGGTTAGTATTTACATAAAACTGTAATTTTAAATAAGACTTTCCTATTCTGATAAAACCATCATTCTAACCTTCTTCAATGTAAATGTACTTACGTATCCTTCCAATAATAATAATAGCGTAAAATAATAAATGCAATAATAAAAATAACAATAGAGTAAATATAATAACAATACTAAGTAGAGTAAAATAATAAATGTAATAATAGAGTAAAATAATAACTATAATAACAATAGAGCATAATAATAATAATAATAATAATAATAATAATAGAGTAAAATAATAAATGTAATAAAAATAATAATAGAGTAAAATAATGTAAGTGTAATAATAATAATAAATGTAATAAAAATAATATTAATTACAGAATAAAATAATAAATAACATTGATATGATTATAAGCTGAGGGGGCCTTTTTCAGCCTAAAAAGGGGCTGAAAACTAGGCTTATACTTGAGTATATACAGTATTATTTTAAAAATCATCTTCCTCAACCAAAAAAGTCTCTAGGAGTGCTTTTCATATAACCAAATAAAAGAAACATAGACCATAATTTCAATCTTCCAATCCAAGAAGATATGGCTCCAAAAGAAAATCAGAACTGAAGAGGGCTGTTCAAGAGGGCTGGAACAAAATAATAACACAACTTTCCCAAAAGTCAGAATTTGCTTTTGTCACCTGCTACCAAGACTTAATTTTATGGCGACTCCCTGGATGAGAGATCTCCAAGTCACACAGCTCTGCTCAAGTTTAATAGGCTTGATATCATTGCTTAAATATCATTAGTTTATTCATTTGCAAAGTGGTCTTACTCTTTACCTATTGCCTTCTACCTTATGAAGTCATTTCTAACCAGTCATATCTTTGATATGGTCAAAGTATGACAATCTCAGTTTAACCATCTTGGCTTTTTTATTTGTTCCAGAACCCCCTTATTTCTCTTTTTAGTCATTTGCAAAATTTTTCTAGAACACCACATTTCTAATGAGTTAATTTTTTTCCTATCAACTTTCTTGACTATACAACTTTTACAAGCATACATAGCAATAGGGGAAATAATGCTGTGGGCAATACTAGTATCACAACTCAACTTCAGGATCTTGTTTAGTTCATTTAAAGCTGCCTTTCCAAGTCCTAGTGTTCTGATTTCTTGGCTGCAGTCCCTTCGAATTTAATGACTGACACAACAAATTTAAAAAAGGAACTATTTTAATGCCCACATTGTCTTTTGTATAGTTATATAAATTATCTGTGGCCATCACAGGTTGTATGGCACTACCTAAAGGAATCACCCA